TTCCCTCCTCTGTCACTTCAGCAATTCCTACCTCCCCCCACCCCACCACAGGTTTTAATATGGGTCAGAAGTTCCAAGAAAAGGAGCTGGAACAAAGTGCATTCTGGGAGACTTGACTGACTTTCCGTTTGAATGAGGTGCCATGTCTGATATTTTCCCCCTGAGGTAATACCCTTGACAACCGAGTCACTCATTCCTTTCAAATTATCTCCTCAGTTTGGATAGAAGCGTTGAGTAGAGGAGGGATTTTTGTTGCCTTACATTAGCCCAGAAACCTGCAGCAGCTCCATTTTCCTTCCTGCTTTACACGTTTCTTTAAAGTGGAAAAACCTCACTTTTCTTTTTCAAAATACCTTTGTACAGAACAGGTTGCATTCACATAGAGATAGTAAGTAGTTTCCTTCCATAGTTTTACAGAGATTCGGAGAGAAGACAGCAAATTAGTGGGGCCGACCGGAGAACTGCACGGCTGACCTTAGTAACCTTCAAATATCACAAAGGTCAGTAGAAGGACCAGGTGACGGGCTTTCTGCTCATGAGTGGTCAACCTCCATTAGTGAACCCGGCAGACGTTAGAGGGCATTTCAGTAGAATGGATAAAAAGCTGAATGGACAGGACTAAGGATGACAGAAAAATGGAAAAAGATTTTGATACAAACAGCAAGAACAGTAAGTTACTAAAAGAAAGACAGACAGGGACTGGAGACATCATGGAAGTTTTGCAGTGAAAGTAGGACTTGGGCTCCCCCTTGAGGGGTGGGTAGAAGTTGACTGGACAAGAAAGAAGCTGAAGAGAGAGCAGAGCATCCTATGGGCCTAAGGGAACACGTGGGTGGGGCGGGGCGGAATGAACGTGGATCACCGGGCAAGAGCAGGAGTTATGACAGGATCATATGCATGAAACCACAGAAAGGGCTGTGACAACTGAGAGGGCAATGTCTCCAGGCACCTTTTTCCTTATTGTGCTTTATTGTAAGTCTGGCTTCCCAAAATTTGGCCGAAAACATTCAACCATAGCTTAGCAGTTGGCTTATAGCTCTACTGTAGGAAAAAATTACATCCTCCCTCTCCAGAAGAGACTTGCAGTGGGTCAGTAATTTTATCTGTTTATAGTTAGGACTTATAATGTGGAACTGACAGGCCCATAACTTCCTAATGACCCAATTTTCCCAGAGGAATTTCTACTCCCAAATGCGCATGTTCACACCAACATAAAAAGTTTGCTGATAGACAAGGCATGCTACAGTGATTCTCAATTCTAGAGACATGACATTTGTGTTCAGGGACCAATGTGACGTAAGATTGGAAATAACCCGGAATAAACATGAAGACCCCACTTTTTAAAACATTTTCCTTTTCAGAACTTACAAGAGACCTAGGATGTCCCTATATACAGTCACCTCACTCACTGGCATTCCAGTCTGCGGAGTAAGGAGAAAGGACTGGAGCTACAACATGAGGCCTGCTTGCAAGTGGAGTTCAGTTGCCCTTGTGCCCCATTCATTCAGGTGTGCCCATGGTGGTGCACACAGTTCCATCTTGCCCTCAGGATGGGGAATGGTGAAGAGCTGCTAAAGTATGCCAGAGCCAAAGCAAGGCACAGCCACCTCTAACTTAGGAAGCAGGCCACTCCTTCTTGGAAAGCTGGTTCAAGTTTATTGAAAGGCTCCTTGGCTTTTCTCGGGAAACTTCTGACCCATATTAAAAGCACCTTACACTACAGAACATTTTCTGTACTTAGACAGCTGAGTGGGGAGTTAATATTTGAAGGTTGCTTTACCCTTGCAAGGTCCTCTGTAAACAGTGGTGGTGAATTCATAACCATTTCAGAGTCAGTCTAACATTTTTATAGCTTCCATTTGTAACATCTCAGAAAGGGAAGCTAGAATGACCCCCATACCGCCTAGGAACCAGGGAGCAGGTGCTAAAAGCATGGTCATGAGAGTCAGATAGACAAGCACTCACATCCTAAACACTCCACGCACTTGTATGTCCCTGGACAGGCTACCTGACTTCAGTTTCCTCACTTACAAAATGGGAAAAATAGTAGTAACTGTCTTACAGGATTCATCTGAAGATGAAATAATAAATATAGAGCAGCAGTTCCCAATGTGGGGCACATGCCCCACCGGGGGGCAATTTTATTTTTAAGGGGACAATTCGAGAATGAGTTGTTAACAGTGAATTTTTGTATTTCTTATGGTTCTAGGGCCTCATGCACAGTATATAAATATATATTGTGACATGTTATGCATTTCGGTACTCTAATATATGTTTTGAAACTTTATTTGCTATTTTTTCGTATCACTTCATATTATTATTTTTAAAAATAATTTCTTAGTGATTTCTTCCTCAGTACTTCAACTGTCCTTTCATTCTTTTATTTTTCTCTTTCATGGATGCCATGTTCTTTGGAAGCTTGTTTAGACCAAGTCAATGACCTTTTAGGCTTCCTCCACATGAATAGGAGTTCATTTTTTTAATAATAAGAATTATATGTCACAGGGAGGCATCAGGATTTCAGAGATGCTTAGGTGGGGCCTGGCCAAAAAAAGGTTGGGAACCACTGAAATAGAGCATTTAGCATGGTTCCTGACATAAAATGTGTTCTCTACACTCAAACTTTCCATTAGCCCAGTGTCTCATTAGTATTCTGATACTTATTTTTCTAAAAGCCTATATTAACTGTTCAGTGTTATCTCTTTTTTTTTCATTTTGTTAATTCTCACCAGGAGGATATTTTCTCCATTGATTTTGAGAGAGAATGGAAGGGAGAAAGGAGGAGAAGAGAGAGAGAAACATCAACGTGAGCGAGACACATGGGTGATTGGTTGCCTCCCGCATGTGCCGTGACCTGGGCTAGGAAATGAACCCAGTATGTGCCCTTGATCAGGAATGGAACCCGAGAGCCCTCGTGCTGGGGCCGACAGTTTAATCACTGAGCCACACCAGCCAAGGCTAACTGTTCTTTTTAACAAGGGTAACTATGGGTGTAGGTATTTCTCCTAGAACCTACATTCTTACCCATGAAATGAGGATACTACTACTTGCCCCGCTAACTGAAAGAGTCAACAGTTTGGGAATACATTCTAAAACCCAAATATGTGAAAGTTATTAACTGAAATTTTTACTCTGCAATACACCACAGTTAAGTAAGCTTGTCATTAATGATGTGGACAGTTCTGAGTTGCACACGCAGTATGCCTGGCCCTCAGTGTTTATTACCTGAGTTGCACATGCAGTATGTCTGGCCCTCAGTATTTATTACCTGAGTTGCACAGGCAGTATGTCCTTGGTTTTTGTTTCCCCACAATGCCCCCATGTCAGAATGCCATATCATGACAAGTCTTTTTTCACAAACCTTCTCTAAAACGAGTTAATTTTAATTCATTTTAATCATATAGTGATTCAGTATCTTCATGTGTTTTATATTTTAATATCACTTGAGGATAATTTTTCCATTGATTTTTAGAAAGAGTAGAAGGGAGGAAGGGAGAGAAAAGAGAGGGTAGGATGGAGGGTGAAGAAAAGATTTGGATGTGAGAGAGACACATCAATTGGTTGCCTCCAACGTGCACCCAAACCAGGGCTGGGGATTGAACCTGCAACCCAGGTCCAAGCCCTTGACCAGGAATCAAACCCAAGACCCTTCGGTGTACAAGCTGATGCTCTAACCACTGAATACACCAGCCAGGGCTATGACTGGTGTAAACACCAACATTTGGTGTTTTAATTTGCCAAATGTTGCTTCTAGATTATTTTCCTAAATGTCGGTTGAGCTCTTTCTTAGGAAAGTCACGACTTGGGTAGTGAATAAGATATGAGTTACTATTTTATTCTCAACTCAAGTCAAGTCATGTTTATTTCTAATTTAGATCATTTACTAATATAGCAATAATTAAATTAGGTGCAGCATAGTGTAGCTGGCAAGGCAGGGACTTCTGAGATTTGAATATTAAGTCAGTCATTTAATAGCTGATTTCACTTTAAGCAATTTATTTTACCTTTCTGAACTTGCAGCTGAGAAATGGGACCAGAACAGCTACCTTTAAAAGGAGATGGTCATCTTAAAGAGCAAAGAACAGTCCCCAGACACAGTAAATGCTCTTAACGTGAGAATAATTTAACAACAGAACGAAACAGCATCCACTTACAGTTCACAGATGCCAGCTCTGGTGCGAATGACAGGCACAAGCTGCAGTAACATTTTGACACCATTTTGCCATTCTTCTTCTCGTTCGAATTCACAGTATAGATAGCTACATTCATCAGATGAAAACTGATAGAAAACGTAAGTGTCCTGAAAGTATAAATGCTGGTCCACTGTTGGAAAGAAAAAAAAAGTGTGGATCAGTTTTTTCAAGTATATTATTTAGAGAGTCATAAACCCAATACTAAGCTGAAAGCATCACTAAGTACTATTCGCCAGGGATGGGACTACAATCACACAGTCTAAATCTGCTTGTGTTCACAATTCTAGTGAATTCAAAAGGATTTACTGACTTATCTATTTTTATTATTTGAAGCTTTGACCAGCATATTCACACATATTTGATCACTTTTCTGCTTTAGGGACAGGTAAAATCTATAGTTATTCAAAGATAGTGAGGAGACATTTCTTTAGAGTCCCAAAGTAGACTGATATATGTAATTACTTTAGTGGAACACAAGTACACCATGGTGGCAAGTTCTAGATCAGTGGTTCTCAACCAGGGTGACTGTGCCCTCCCCAGGGAACACTTGGCAATGTCTAGAGATGTTCTTGGTTGTACAGCTAGGGGGTGCTACTGACATCCAGTGGATGGAAGAAAGAGATGCTGCTACACATTCTACAATGTATGCGCCAGCCCCTTACAACTAAGAACTATCTAGCCCAAAATGTTAACACTACCAAGGTTGGTAAACACCATTTTAAAGGAACTAGAACTGGAGACTTTTCCAAAAAATATTAACACAAAATGTTTAGTGGAATCTCTCAAGCAAGTTGATCACATTGCTCAAAGGTAGCTAACTGGTTTCCTAAATAAGAGAAGCAGGTGTTACGTATTACTAACTCACTAAGATTATACCTCTTTCCCCATATGAACCACTCTTCCACAGTGGGACTTGGGTTATGACTTTCTGAATCTTACCAAGTTCTCTGGCCCTCAATATTTATTACCTAGGCCCGTGGTCGGCAAACCGCGGCTCGTGAGCCACATGCGGCTCTTTGGCCCCTTGAGTGTGGCTCGAGCCGCAGTTTGCCGACCACTGACCTAGAGGGAAAAAAGGGGGGGGGAGGGGGCTTTACATTAACCAACCAGCATCTCTGTGAAAGAGCTAAAAAAAAAAAATCAGATTGCATCACTCCTAGTCTCCAAAACCCTGGGCTCAACAACAACAAAAAAAAGGAATATCAACTATCTTTTTATTTTCTAGTTAACAGCAATTTTCTGTTCTGTTTAAACAGCTAATTTTTATAGGTCCTATCTCTAACTGTTCATGATTACTTAGTCAATCAAAATGGCATACACATTCCACTCATAAAATCAGTCTCTGATGATAATTCTAAGTACAGCAAGATAAATCATACATTTAGGGCAACTAAAAATGTCACTGCTTTAAAAAAAAAATTGCGAGCAGCATTTAGAGTAGAGAAGGGAGGGGGGTAAGCGAACAACTCTTATAGGCAGATGTCTAGGAATCAGCAGGTACCTAATTATTTTCACAAAAGGTGTGAGAGAAATAACAATCAAAAGATGACCTATCACTTCTATGTATAAAATAAGAGAGAATGCAAATATTTATCTGAAAAACCAATGTCCATCCAGATAACTAGAATATCAAGTATATTTTGGTCTGGTCACTTAATAAAATAATGATTCTGTGCCTTCCAAGCATGTCCTACTAACCTGATGACAGAATCCCCATGTCCAGTAAGAGCTGCCAGACCCCTATGGCCGTGGATCTGCACTGGACGAAAGGACAGTGTTCCAGAAGCCAGTCGACCAGTTCTGACCCAACACAGCTTCGCCTGCATAAAACAAAGCCGTTCACATGAGACATCGTGGCCACTCACTTGCCAAAAAATTGGTATTTAACAGCATCCCTCCCATGTGCTTTCTTTTTAAAACAAGTGACTCAATAATACATGACATGTATCTCTGATTCATTCCTCTTTTGGATTTTAGCTCAAATATCACTTCCTTAGAGAGACTTGGAATCAAATTCTCTTTTTCTTTTTCTTCAAGTCACCTTACATTTAATAATGACACATCTTTCTGAGTGAATAATATCTGCTTTCCTCACTTAAGAATAAATTTCAGGGGACCAAGGATTATGCATAACTCACTATTAAACCCCAAGAACTAGGACAGTCCAGGTACACAGTAATTTCTCAAAATATGTAAGTTTGCATAAATGAGTTTAGCAGTCTTTTATAGAAAGAAATGCTTCTGCCTCGGTCAAGACAACTACCTCAAGTTGGTGGTGATAGATTTTGGTCCCACCATTTATAGATTTTTATCTAGTCTCCTTTTTCCCCAAATACAATATTTAATACAAGAGACAGGATATCAAACTATCTTTACTATTTACAGTAAAGGACAACAAAGAATGTACAAATTGTGAACAAACAGCAGAGCCAGCAGACACCACATCCACATCCCAACAGCAAAACACAAAGGAAAGGCAAGACTCTGGGCAAGCAAAAGATGATGGTCCAGGCCACACTGTCCAGGTACCAGAACGAGGCAGAGCAGGGCCCTCAGGCAGCAGGGGTTCCATACAGAAGGGCAGGAGGAGAACTGAATGATGAGTAGGTACAGGCTCCAAAATGTTTCACAGAAATGAAACCACAGCCAATGCCAGGAAACAGCAGAGCACAGTCCGTGAGAACAACAAGAAGTCATCTTTGCACGGGCCCATTTGTAACCATACTTTGAAGTCGCTCTTTGACACAAAAACATCAGCAAAACTTCATCGTACTTTTTTATAGAGAGACCATAATTATTCATCAGAAGCAAATACTGGAAGAGATCTGAGGCCACAATACTACTGCCAAGTGAGAAATATGGGAATTGCTTTCCTCTGTATTAAAAGGGAACACCTGAAACTAATACAAAATAATATTGAATATAAACTGTACTTAAAAAAAATTTTAAAAGAAGGGGAAAAGCCAATATCTGCTGCAGCCTGCTTTGGCCATGCACGATCAGGGGCCCCGGGCCTGGCCCTGCCCCAGGGGACACTGGAGGAACAGAGCGCCCAGGCCTGTGCTACTGAGGGACTCAGTTATTTTTCTTTTCACCTTTTAAAAAGCATTCCAGTATTCCCCCTTCAACTTTACCATATTCTCACCAAACTCAAACTTGCAATATTTAGCACTGAAAGAACCCACAGGACAGTAAGTGGACCTACAAGAAACAGTTAAGTGGAAGTTTGTCTCCCCACGATGCTCCCAAAACTTGCTCACAGAAGCACCCCCACTTTGGTGATGTGAGCTCTCTACAATGGAATAAGCAGGGGTAAGATCCTTGTCTAAACTAAAAAGCTTTGGGGAAATGTTATGAGGGGGAAAGACAAAAATGAGAGCAAAAACAAACCCCCGAAACCTTGCAACTCATTTTCCTAAACAGACACGACACTGGCTGGCCCGGTTCAGGTAAGGATTCGCCCCTGCAGCCAGTTTTGAGTGGCACCGCAGTATGTCAGAGAGGAAAGGAATTTTTGTGGATGTCCTCGGTTCCTGCAGACTCCTTGGTGATCGGCACGGTCACGTGTTCACTAGTCAACAGCCAATGCCAGGTCTATGACAAAGTTGGCTGGCCCCTCTACAGACCACATCCCAGAGTCAGCCAGTTGCTGTGAGCCTCCTGTTGGCAGCTGAACAAATCCACGGTGTCTTTATCCTCCATCTCCAACGGGGCCAGGGTGTCTGCTTCTTTAATTGGCTGCCCATCAAACCGGAACTTAATCTGTCTCATTGACCAGCCTTGCAGCTCACAGTAGGCCTTCATCAGCTTGCTCAGTGGGGTGTGTCTCTTAATCTTGAACTGGACCACTGAGCCATCCTGCCCGACCACTTTCAGACTGATGTGGTCATTCTGTCTTCACTCCCTCCTTGAGCTTCTCCTCGGATATGGCTGCGCGCGGTTGTGGGGCAGTGGGGCGGCAGGAAATTAGGCACGCACCGCTGTCCCACCACAACTACTCTCTGGGACAAGCTTTGCCCCCCAAATCCTGGCTCATGGGTTGGCTGGTCCAAGGTCACGTTGCACCCTGGGCATCGAGTGTGCACCCAGTTAGGCTGAGGTTCCCGGCACTAGTCTCTTTTTAAATAGTTTTGATTTTAGGGGGAGAGGGATGGAAAAGGAGAAATATCTACGTGAAAGAGAAAAATTGATCGACTGACTTCTGTATGCCTCTACTTGGGATTGAGTGCACAGCCTGGGCATGTGCCCTGACCTGGAATTGAACCAGCGACCTTCTGGTGCATGGGATGATGCCCAACCAGCTGAGCCCCACCGGTCAGGGCTTATCTAGTCTTTTTAAAAAGAACAAAATAATTCCAAGAGAATTAGGCAAAGTTGGAACACAGTGGATAATAGAGAATTTTGTTTGCTACTTTTCAGAGATTAAATCCCAGAATTTGTCTCAAAGGGCAATCCATTTGACTGTGAATCTTTTTAATATAATCTAAGCAATCTAGCTAAGGAACCTAGATCATAAGACCCACAAATGCAGATGTGTGTGAAGGATTCCACTAACCACACACACACACAATATTCTCTGTAATCTGTCCTAAAATATACAACTATAATCAAAGGCTGTCCAATCTTGGTGTTACAAGAAGTATCTCAATCCTTCTTTTCCACCTTTATGAGCCTGTGATGAAAAACCCGAAGAAGAAAGCTTGCTGAAATGTGGATTTTCATTTGCACAAATTTCATTGAATCCCATTCTCCCTTATGAGAAACTGTCACCAAAATGTTTTTTTAAAATGATGTATCATGTAAATGGCTATGTTCATTCTATATTTAGCATTTAAGGACCAAAAGATGTAAACTTTATTTGTATTCCTAACACAGGAAAATATTGCCTATCTCCTGTGATTGGCATAGGCACAAATAGCTAGAAGTCACACAGTGACCAACAATACAAAGATATGCCACAAGGTGCTACAGTTTCCAGAGTGAAGAAAAAAATAAGCTTTTTCTGTGGAGAAATCTGATCAAACATTCTAGCTTTTGATAATGCATCACAGGTTTTGGTACAGTGCTACAGTTTGTAAGATGCTCTAAGGCAATTAAGGCAATACCGGACATGTTTAATCGCAGGTTAGCATCAAGGCAATTAAACAGATTAACAGTCAAATAAATGGATGTGTTTTTTTAAACAAAATGAGAAAACAGATCACAACAAAACAGTTAATTAGACAATATTAACTTCTAATTCGATAGGACACCCGTCATGTGAAAGGCTCAAAGTGTTAATTAATTCCTCCACACCTCTGTCAATGAGCCAGCATCTTCAAACTAATTGCTCGAAGCACAGTTATCACTCGGATTAAACACTGTATCATTTGTAATCCTTATTCTCAGAACAGTCCAGCTCCTCTGCCTACTGTGTGGAACGTGAAAGGACACGATGGAACATTTACTGAATAAATCAAACTGTTAAATTGCAAAGGGTGGCTGGATGGATGGGTGTGCATGTTTGTTCACAGGTGATGAATACGGAGAAATTTCTCAGACGTGGGCTCCTCAAAACCGTGGTTAGGCATTACCTGAGATCTGGCTAACCTGCAGATTCTTTTTTTTTCTTTCTTTTTTTAAAAATATATTTTATTTATTTTTTTACAAAGAGGAAGGGAGAGGAATAGAGAGTCAGAAACATCAATGAGAGAGAAACATCGATCAGCTACCTCCTGCACACTCCCCACTGGGGACGTGTCCACAACCAAGGTACATGCCCTTGACCGGAATCGAACCCGGGACCCTTCAGTCTGCAGGCTGATGCTCTATCCACTGAGCCAAACCGGTTAGGCTAACCTGCAGATTCTGAGGCAGGACAGCTGGGCGGGGCCTGAGTGTCCTCGATTCTAACTGGCTCCCCGGTGATGCTGGTGGCCACAAAGCCCAACCCCCAGCTCTACCTTGTCATTGGGAAGGGCCCCTCTGTTTGGGGGGCAGGGCTGAGTCAATATGCGAAAACATAGCAATGCCCTGGCAGCGGTTAGCAAGGAGGTGAGCTGCCTCTGCCTTTAACGCCTCCTCCCAACTTCTGACCAGGCCCTCAACAATCCAGTTAAACTGCCCAAATCCACAGGATTTAAGGAGAGCAGTGAGGAGGGAAACGGAGACGGTTGGAAGGGAGCAATCTGACTACGGACAGCAGCTCTTATTCCCGGGGTATTTTCGGCGTTGTCCTGAATCCAGAAACTGTTTTGAGGGCATCCAGACCTAACCACAGTCGCATGTGAGGTAGGAACGTTGTGATACGGAGGTGACTAGATACAAGGCCAATGGGATTGCTCTAACAAAGCATTCTTTTAACAATCTCTGGAGCTGAGCGTTTGCTATATCTTAGCTTCCTTCTGTCTCTGGTTACATTTTTAGCAATTATTTCATGAGAGTGCAGACACAACTTTAATCTCGAATATACCAGTATATGGGGCGATGCTATTCAGAGACCAGCTCTGAAAGTAATTCTCATGTGGTGCATAGGGAACACTTTCCCTTAATTCACTACCAGACATACGAAAATGATCCGTTCTGGGCCACCATATTAGCACTTTGTCTTTATACCCAGAACATGCCTCAGTCCTCAGATTTTAAAAGAAGGGAGGTTCTGGCCTGACCATTGGAATCTGAAATAGCAAAAACACATGCTCTTTCCCCACTCTATTCCCACCAGTATGTTCTAACTTGGATGGATGGTTCTTTCCATGAACCCAACTAATGTATACCTATGCATTCTTTTTTCAATCTATATCCATAGAGGTCACATAAAGAAACAAAACAGAGCAATGACAGTCGTTACACAGAGCCTTATGTGTAGCGAAAATGAGTCCCATGAACCCTGCTGAGAGCTCAGTTGGTTAGAGTATCATCCAGATACCCCAAGGTTGTGAGTTTGCTCTCCAGTCAGGGCTCATACAAGAATCAGCCAATGAATGCATAAATAAGTGGACAACAAATCTCTCTCTCTCTCTCTAGTCAATAAAAAAATTTTTTAATGAATCCTATTAGGTCACTCACAACTAAACCCAAAGACTTTGTACAGTTCTTGTTTTTTAAAAAAAAAATCAACGTGTCTAAGTTTAGTTAAAGAAATGACCTTTATTCTGGGAATTTTTCCTACTTTTTTTTGCTGTCATTTATTCTGAGTATTCTTCCTATTTTTTTATGGTATTATGATTTCATTTCTATAAGAAAGAATAATGAAAATAAATGACAGGATTTTTTTCTTTTTGAGGTTTTCTTCTGCTATTGTTTGGTGTGGTTTAATATCTTTACTTAACATAAAAACAATAATAATACGGAAAACTAATAAAAAAAACTTTTGTTTTTCCTTTAACCTCCAGAAAATGAAAATATGGGCTCCAAACTTTCTAAGTGACCACTCTCTTGGTCCAGGTGTACTTTAAAGCAGGCCTCTAACCCACCCATTGACTCTAGCGCCTCTGCCCTATCCACTAGCCAAGGCGGAGAAATGCCATCCGTACGCCAACCTGCCCCTCCCGCTCTTCACAGCACCCAGGGGGATTCTCCCTCCCACCTGGCGAGATGAGCAACGGTTCTCTCAGCCCCTGGACGTGAGAGTCCTCTCAGAGCCTCGATAAGGTCCCTGAAGGGGGACCTATATTTACTGACATCACAGTGTAGGACACGCCCAATGAAATTATTCTAAACTATCCCAGCTCAGAGGAAGCAGGGGCTCTCTCAGGAACCCATCCACACCCAGGGATGCCAGACCCTAACTTCAGAACCAGGAGCCCAACTGTCAACAAACACTTAGCTAAGTTTAAAGAAGAGACAAGTCATCACCAGTGACCCAAAAGGACACTTCAACGAACTGACCTACAGCCTGTTCCTACAGCCCGTCTCTCTGTGATCATGCTTAAGATTTTAACACATTTTTTTCATAAGGAGAGTTTCTGACAAGATGTTAGAAAACTGTGTTACCTGTAAAATCCCTTGAGGTTCGCTCTGTCCTTGATCAGATCAGCTGCCTGGACGATAATGATATTCCTCAGTGCTCTTCCTGCACAAGAAGAATTCTCCCCATAAATCTAAGTGGAAAAAACAAACATTCCCTATAAATGTAGAACAATCATGCCATAATTTGTGAGCATACTATTTATATAAAAAAAAGATGACCAAATCCATAAGCTTAAGACACTTATGCAGCTACAAACACAGCTACCTATTTTATTTTACTTTTGCTATTGGTTTATGCCAGTGGTCAGCAAACTGCGGCTTGACAAACCATGGCTCGCGAGCCACATGCGGCTCTTTGGCCCCCTGAGTGTGGCTCTTCCACAAAATACCGACTTCTGCGCATGGGCCACAAAGTTTCAATCATACTGTACATGCGCACCCGCACGTGGTATTTTGTGGAAGAGCCACACTCAAGGGGCCAAAGAGCCGCATGTGGCTCGCAAGCCGTGGTTTGCTGACCACGGGTTTATGCTATAAAACTCTAATAGCTATTTTCCATATGCTAAACGGCTTTAACTATAATTGAAAGTAATATATTTTACACAAGTTTTTAGTGTAAAATACCCACTGTTTTTAAAAACAGAGTGTTTCTATCAATAGGGCAAATCAAAGAATATTTTTGTTATGTATTAACTTTGCCATATTGATAACGCATCCATGTAAAGGACTTAGAAGATAGGAAACTAATTTTCCCCTGTCTCGTGGACATCTTGTATCACAACAATTTGATAGCAGGCTGTTGTCTGCTCTGCATTTAAGGGTCGCTCCACTGCAGAGTTCATAGTTAATTCTAAGAATTATGGTTTCATCACTTTGCCATTCCAGTGAGCAGATAAAAATTTTTTCAATCTTCTAATTTGCACATATGAGTCTCTGGTTCTTAAAGGATGAAGGAGGGCATTCCTTAGATCCAGAGAGGCTTATGTCCTTTAATACACCTCCGTTCCCCATAGCTGGCCCCTTCCTCTGAGTGCATTGTGCCCCACTAACAAAGGAGCCACGTGACAATGAACTGCCTTCATAAGTAAAGGCTCATGAGAATTCGTATACACAGGGGGTAGGTATTCATATCTGTTCCCTTGTTTCTTGGTGAACTCTTTCTGCACCTACAAAATGTTGCCTCTATAAAATATAAATCTTCGCTCAAAGCAAACAAATGGATAATATGTTGATTATAACTTAACAGGGAATGATTCAACCCCATCCTTATACTTTTTAATGTTCCTGTTATCACCTCCTAAACACAACCCTATGAGAAAGTGAGGACAGAACATGACTTATTTTTAACACATTAAAACTTAAGAAGAACGTGAACAAGTCGGATGACAGAAACCATTGCCCTAAGGGAGGTACAAGTCAGCTGACACTTGACTGGTCCTGACGTGGTACCAGTATGCAGTCCCTCAGTCACTCAGGAAAACGTTTAATGATGCTGGGATATAATCATGGAAAAAGGCCAAAAAGGTCTCCGTCCTCACAAAGCTTCCAGGCTCCTGTTGTTTTAAAAACGCAACTCTCTGTCGACTGATTCTTTAACACAATGTGATAAAGGCGTCCTCATCGTGTCTCACCAATTAGCATACAGAGATATTTTACTATTAGATAAATGTAAGTATAAATAATCCCCTTGCTCGTTTCCAGTGTTAAATACCCACTATTTTTTAAAAAAAATACAGTGTTTCTATAGAGAAAATTGAAAACATATTATGTATTAAACTCTGCCATATTGATAATGCATTCACGCAAAGGACATGGAAGATGAGGAAATCTTTTTTCCTGTCTAGTGAACATCTTGAATTCTGACCAGTTATCAGGACATCTCATCTGACTCTGGCTGTGTCACCCCAGTGAAGGAGACGGCATGATCAGGAGCACAGAGGGCAGCTGTAACTACAGAATTCTACATCAGGGTCTGCGAATCACTGTTTCAGAAAATACAGTAAGAGAACAAGAATCGTACCTGGGAAGAAGTGTGCTCAAGGTATGGATTGGAAATTCTTCTCTGGAGAGTCTATTTTAAAAGAAAAAGGGGAAAAATTAGGACCAAGTAGAAAGAAATCGTTGCACCATCAGGGCATACGATACGCAACAGTGGGAGGCCCAGGAGTTGTCCCTGCCAACAGATGAGCTTAAACCTCCAGACACAGAACATTAATGTCCTTATTCTTACTCTGCAAATACCTGGTTAACATTCACTCCAATGGGACAGGATAGAGCATTCAAACGGCTCCCAATCTACAGAGCCCAAGTTTAGAAAGCGCAACAGAAAGACTGGGGTGTTTTTGTACTTGTCACTTGGTTCTCCATGTGATTTTGATTCCATTTCTCCTTTCCTTCTCCTGTCCACGTTCACCAGTCTAACTAAGCTCTCATCCCCACCCACAGGAACCGCTGCTTCAGCTGCATGATGGATTTTCCTGCCCTCTAGTCACGCCCTCTCAGGCCACCCTGCAACCCCCCGCGACACAAATGTCTCTAAACCGCCCCCTCAACTGACAGTGGGGCTCTTACCGCTTATGTGCATCAACCCACACGCCCTGAGCCTGCCCTTCTGGGTCCACCACAGTCTGCCGCCAACCGGCAACTAGTAGTCTCTTTCCACCTCACTACCTGGGTTCTTTTCTTGTTTGTTTGTTAATCTATTCATTTTTAGAGAGAGTGGAAGGGAGGGAGGGAGGGAGACAGAGAGAGAAACATTGATGTGAGAGAGACACAGCGATTTGGTTGCCTTCTGCATGTGCCCTGATCAGGGCCGGGGATCGAGCCTGCAACCCAGGTACATGCATGCCTTGGGCCGGAATCAAACCCAGGACCTTTTAGTGCACGGGCCGATGCTCTATCCACTGAGCCAAACCGGTGAGGGCACTTCCTGGGTTCTTTATTCTTCAAGAGGTACTCATAGAAGAACCTGCCACTCCGATACCTCCGCGCATGCCATTCTCCATAAGAGAAAGCCCTCAATCTCCCGACACTTTCCTGAATCCCACCAGACTCCCAAGTCCAGGTTTTGTGCAGTCGCCTCCTAGGCAAAGCTCCTCCCACCCACCCGGTCCACCAGGGTTTGTGGTCTTTGGAGCTCTTTGTTTTTTGGGTCCGTACTGTGGGCTGTCTTGCTGTGAGTGCATTTGCCCCAACTAATCCATACGCGCCTGGGAAGAGGGCTGGCCGTTCCTACAGCTTCGCTTTCATGGCACCCAGCTCAGCAATGTTCCTTTTTCTATCCAGTTATTTGTAGATATTCACATCTCTACATCCACTCGGTCATGCAGGAGCTAATTTTTCCCACCTAACAATCCAGTGGGCAGCACCATCACCCACGTGTGCTTAAGCACAATGGGAAATTACCATTTCCCAACCCAGGAAAAAGAACAGAGGAACCAACACTTACTGAGCTTTCAACCTATGTTTTAAAAGCTCCTTTCTCCTCTATTCCTAGGCTTGCTGTCTTTTCAGATCCCATGGTTTTTAGTCTGCCGCCTCCACTTCTTAGAATTGGCTAAATTTACAAAACATCTCCTGCTAATCATCGCTTTCCGGCATCTGAAGCTTCTACCAAGATGTAATGTAAGACAGAATTCCCCTTCCGCCTCTTCCTGCTCTACACGCCTCCCACACTACTTATCTTCTAATTAAACTAAAATAGATATATAGACGCTTTACCCAAAAATGCTAATTGGTACACCCTGCTAAAGACTTGCAATGGCTTCAAAGAAAATGACATTTATAAGGTCGAGAGGCCATTTTGAATCCCCATTCACCTCCCCCTCCTACTCTAGTCTCACCCACTCCCAACTGTCTCTTCTCGGGGCTTCTGTCATCCGAGCCTTGGTAATGTATTCACTTATTGAAATACTGAACAATTTAAAATTTGCATATGCACCAGATTTATAATTTGACGATGAATCATCATGATAAGTGATTTCCCTCCTCAACAGAGCGACTTTTAAAAATCAATATAGCAAGGCCAGACCTGACAATCTTTATTACTCATCTATTTGCCTGGATCAGCTCAGAAAAGCAAATACTTCCTATGATCTAGTTTTTTTAAAAAAGCATTTAGGGAGAAACAAGTTCTAAAGGGCCAGGCAGGGGCACGTTCACAAAAGAAAGCAGCCGGCTTCCTTTCTCTCTGCTGCCAACCTAGACCTGCCTGTCTCAGCCCTAGCCTTACACTCCCAGTCCCCCTCACAGCAGCGTCCCCCCTGGATGGCTGGTCTGAAAGGACTGGTAAGGTGAGTAAATAAAGCAATGGGATTCTTCCCTGCTGACTAGATAACAGCGTTAGATAAGCTGCTGGCCCACGGGGAACCCACAAGAGCAGCACAAGAACTGCCTTTTACAGGACACAATACCTAGACCTGCTGTCAGACACTCCCGCCAAGCCCTCTCTTAACGGGGCCCTGGGGAGCTTGGTTTTATCAATGTCCCTGGTCAGCAGCTCTCGAACTCCGCTGAGCTGGGGGAGCCGCAGAGCTCTCTGCAAATCTCCGCAAAGTCCTGATTTCTTACATTTAAAATAACTACATCACTACGCTCTCTTTTTTAGAGGCCACTCTATGTTAAGTTGTTGCAAAAACAGCAGGTGCCGAAGACTTAACGGAAGAAGCACATGGAGGAGCAGTCCATCCGTTACTTCATTTTTAATAGGATTGTTGCATCATTTCATCCACAGAGGGCCAGCTCACAGGAAGCTGAGGCTCCCTGCTCCCAATCACCTCACAGCGTGCTCTGTCAGCATCTACCTGGGAGCATTACAAGAACCCCCTTGACAGTGCACCCCTCTCCCTTTCAACATGCCGTCACCATCACACCTCATAAACACAAGGCCCAGAAAAGATAACGGTCCCCCCTTATTTCCAATTTCCTAGAATTACTTACATTAGATGCCATGAGTCTTTCATGAAAGACATGCATACACCATAGAGAGAAGACTGCTAACGGCACAAATAAAATCAGATTGTAATTCAAACGTATTTCTTCTCCTTTCCATTTTAAGAAACCATGGAAAAGGATTTCCTAGATGATTCTAGGCAAACTGCATATTTTAAACAGGTATTAGAAAATTACAACCCTTTAATATTCACTTGCAGAAAAAAAAAATAATGGTATAACTCAAAAGGATAATTGATTAGCAATCAGATACTACCTTCATGTTTTCTTGGACTCAGGTGTCCACTAAAGCTAAACTGTAATCGTCTGTGAGGCTGGGTGTGAACCAAGCATGAAATTCATTCCAGTCACTAAAAATATCTTGGTAAACTATATGATAGACTTAAGGCCCATTTCTTATCAGCTCTTAAAGGTCATCTTAATACACTCCTTGGATTGAGTTCAAGTAGTTAGGCTACTGAGGGGAGAGAGAAATCAAAGGAGAAAGGCTGAGTCACTTCCATCACCACAGCAGTGGGACCCGCTCTATCACAAACAGGCACCAAGAAGAACCACCAAGTGTATTCATAACTTAAGAATTCAGTTCAGGACACAACTTTCTATCACCTTCGGCCACTGTCCTTTTGCCATTCTCAGTAGATGTAAGGTAGAATAAGTATACTTGGATTTCTTACAATCCTATGAAGCCAGAAAGCTCCATAAGTACCTGGAAGGCACCTATAGTAAGAGATTATGGACTAAGACAAGAAAAGTTGTGATCTGGTAGGCGGTCTGGTGGAGTGCTAAGACGGTGGGTCCTTTTTAAGCCACAGGATACACTTACCTCTCAATTAAAACGTGGTCAAGGTTAATAGGACAGAATCCCAGCCACTACGTTGGCTGGAGAATTACATGGTCATCACAAGTTAAGCACAATGTAAACTGGAGACATGAGCCATCTGATGACATGGAAGGGCAGTTTACCACAACTCCCTTCCTGCAACCTCTGGTTACCATTCAGGCCAAAGGAACGTGCTCCCAGCAGCCAGGCACAGCCACAAAGGCCATTTGTCGTAATATCTTCTCAGCATAGCCTGGCCACACCAAAGTCCATGATGTTCTTGCAAGCACTTTTTCCATGGCTCTAAGTTGTGTGGAATGAAAGGGGAGGTCGCAGAAATGCTTATTGAGCACCCCCTGGTCTTAGCACTTTCCCATAATAGTCACTGTACTTAGGGAAGGCAACCAGTCAACGTTCTCTCTAAAATCAATAAGCATATCCTCAGGTGAGGATTAAAAAAAAATTTTTTTAAGTAACAAATGGTTAAAAAATAATAATAAATAATTAAATAAATTTTTGCGTTTCTAGTATGTGCCAGAAGTTATGCTAAATGACATGCAACATATCACTTAATCCTTCAAAAACTATGAGGTTGGTACGATCATTAATCCCTTTTTGCAGATGACAAAACTAGACTTAAAGAGGCCAAGAAATTCACCCGAGTTTGCAACTTCGGTCTATCTTTAGTCACTGCCCCATAGACGGATCTTCTAACTTAGAATGTGGTGATTTGAGAGAAACGTGACAAACGAGTACATTTAACTGCTTGCGGACGTCACAAGTGGCATCCACTAGATCTGGCTTACGAATTAGAACCACCTAGGAAACTGAAACAAGCAAACGAAACAAAACAGGTGTTCAGGTCTCACCTCAGACCACAGAACTAGAACCTCTAGTCTAGCAGTACCTGCTGCTTTTTTGCCAATCTCCCCAGGCAATTCTAACCTGGGTTTGAGAAAAACTGGAAAAATCAGTGGATAAAAGGGGCATTTGAACCCTCCCATCGTCCACGACACCCGGAGGCTTGGAGCATCCTCAGAGGTCGTCACAAGTGGCATCCACTAGATCTGGCTTACGAATTAGAACCACCTAGGAAACTGAAACAAGCAAACGAAACAAAACAGGTGTTCAGGTCTCACCTCAGACCACAGAACTAGAACCTCTAGTCTAGCAGTACCTGCTGCTTTTTGCCAATCTCCCCAGGCAATTCTAACCTGGATTTGAGAAAAACTGGCAAAATCAGTGGATGAAATGGGCCATTTGAACCTGTCATCGTTGACGACAGCCAGGAGGCTTGGAGCATCCTCAGAGGTCGCCGCCTCCATCACATTCCCGGCTGAGCTCACAGCACAGCAGAGGGTAAGTCACCTGGCCAATAACGCCGGCTCTGCGGCTGAGCTTCTGGGTCTGGCGGGTGCGGAACAAAGGGCCAGTGTTCGCCACGCTGCACCTGTTGGTGCGGTCTGTGTTTTACATGCCCCAGCCCAGACACAGCCTGAGCCACGATGCCTGCACATCCTCATGGCAGCACGGCACCCTCACGCCTCCTGAGAGGGCATTCCCTTCCCGTGGCATCCATGGCGTTCGGCTTCATTTTTACTTCCCATTATTAAAGGACTCTTCAAGTATAAACATGTCTGCCCACTTAAAAGCTAAAGTAGAAAAAACAAAGAGGGTTCTAGGAATACCTATATTT